ACTTGTCCACCCGTCTATGTCATGCATCTATACAACTATCCCTGTGAAGGAAGGTTTCAGTTAAGAGAAGTGAATTAGACATAGAATCCGAAGTAAGGAAGTTGGAGTGATCAAAGTTGTGGGTCTTCTTAAGATTTGGAATCACTTGCCAGAATCTGTGTGTACATGTGTGCACGCACACATGTGTAATTTTTGAAAATGACTGAATATGCACGTGTAAAAAGGGACATCCTGTTTTCCTTTGGGCTGCAGAATCCTCAGAAATCTGTTGCTCTTGGGAGTGGAACATATTGATTAAAAGCTCTAGCTTCAGTCAGATTTGAGTTATGCCTCTCTGTGCCTTACACATGTGCACTAAATTCTTTGAACTTCAGTTGCCACATCTGTACGACAGGGTTAATAATTCTTATATATAGAGTTGTTAACAGAATTAAATAGGATAATGCATACAAAACACTTAGCTGATTACCAAGCTCATAGCATTTGCTCGGTAAATGTTAGTATCATTATTATACCTGGCTAGATTGAGGGTCTCCCAATTTACCTTCTTTTTCACAAAGATTAAAATCTCATTCTTTCCATGAAGATCTGTGCCTTGCTCTATTTTTAGGTTTCTATTTACTGTAGTTTTTTGCATCATGTGAAAATGATTTATCAGTCTCTGAAACACTATAGAAATTTGTTCTGCTCATAGTTCACTTTACATAGCTTGCCTAGTGTGGTGCTACGCAGTATGGAACTCATCTCTTCTTAAAGTTCGTAGTTTTGCTATGGGCAGGGACTATTTTAAGTACCTTTGCATTGTTCCCAGATGGTTGTCCACAAAGTTGGTGCCTATTTAATCCTGACTGAATGGTTGCTCCCTCCTTTGTGTGAGGTAAGTGGGCCCTGAACAAATAGTGCAAATGATGGCCTGCATGGATTAAATGAGCATTTTTTTGGCACAATGGTGAGACCCATTCAAAAAGGTTTTTGACATTGAGGTTGGTTTGACCCATGAGCCCCTCTCTGTCGTTGGGATACAATTTATCTGACTCCTTGCATTGTGAGTTGACAAGGGCACATGCTTTATAGAGTGTTGTGCCTTGGAAAATCTTTTCTTTTTCTTATTATAAGTTTGATTATTTAAAAAATTTATTTTAAGTGCCAATAATTGCGTATGTTTATGGGTTATTATATGATGCTTTGCTATATGTTTACAGTGGTGTTTGGAGAATCTTTATTCATGCTGTCAAATGCATATAATAAGAAAGGAACAGTCCAAATTACCAGAAAGAAAGAAAAGAAATATAGCAAAGAATACACGTGACAAAAGATGAACTCATGATGGTTCAAGCTTCACAATGAATAAAAGTATGATAACTTAATTATTGATCTGTTTTGATGTAAGACTTGAAGTACGGGCTTTTCCTCTGGCAGAGACCTCTGATGCCTCAAATTGCTCCTTTAGTGAAAAAACACGTTCTTTTGGTTGTAAAGATTATTTTAAGCTCTTTGAGTCCCTGTAGAAGTGTTTTCGGGTGCCTGAGGCTTCAGATTTCTAACAGATTTCTTACTCCTCTTTTTACTGGGACAATCATCAGTTAGCAGGCCATAGATAGTGAGGCTGGGTGCAATACCATGTTCACTAGGGCTGTGAAAGTATTTTCTAATATCCCAAGAAGTGGCTACATTTCTCACTTTTTATTGCTGAGCTTTGCTGTCATACAAAGTATATGACGTGCTGGGAGTGCATGGAGCACCAGCCAGACCTAATTGAAAAGCCTGGAATTGCCACTTATTAGCTTGGTTTTGGTGAGTTTGAGGAAGCTTGAGCTTCTGTTTTCTTATCTTGAAGTTGAGCATGTAGCATTATCACTTTGAAGTTTATTATTGTTGACATTGCATGATCATCATTATCGTCATTGTGGGTACTACTTGGTCTTAGTGTGTACGTCGCTGGAACTGTTCCAAGCGTTTTACTTGGATTAGCCCACTTAATATTCTCAACAACATATAATGAGCTATATTATACTAGTTAAAACATCTAGTATAATTTTATTAGTAGTATTTAATAAAATTTATTTTCATCTTCCAGGTTAAATACTACCTAAGTATTGTTGGTTTAAAATTCTGTTTCAAAGATAAAACATTCTAGAACCTCATTGCTGAGATAAATTAATTTTTAGAGTTTATCAAGTCTAGCAATTTCCATATTTCCTGAACCCCAAATTGTTCTTCCCATGACCATATGTCAAAAATATAAACATGTAGCTATTCTGTTTGAATCGGGGCAGGGGTCTTGAACCCTATGTAACAATGTATCTGTGCCCAGAGCCCTGAGAAACATGCGTTGAAAATCACTGGTTTTCTTCATTTTCCAGCATGTGTACCTAGATATACAAAGTGATTTATAGTATTTCTTAGCTGCAGACTCTGAATGATAAATTCGATCTCTTGATTCCTAGATCTTTTTTTTTCTATGAGACCACACTATGTTATGCAACACAGTAATTATTGTTTACTAAAATGTACTGATTTAAAGATGATAAAGTACCTTTGTATATTTTATACTCGAGCTTTACAACTTTTTTAGTAAGTATAACCTGTTCCTCCTAGATCACCCCTTTATCATCTTTAAATTTCCTTTTGGAAATTTCATGGAGTTGGCAGTAGAGTAAGAGGGGAAAATTAGAGACAAAAAACATGGAAAAATTCTGATGCCATTAAAATAAGCAAGTTCGATGGATTTGGCATTGATCCAGAGGCCAATATTAGTTCCGTGTGGTTTGGGATTTGGCTTCTGATGGCCACTGTGTGAGAAGACAGGGCACCTTGTGGCCAGTGCAAATCGCTCAAATAAGAACCTTGCGGGGTAAACCTCTCTGTGGGCGAATCAGGAAAAAAATCGCTGTGCCAGGGGAGATGTGCCTGTGAGTCTTGGTTCTCACTTGTGGTCTAGAGGAGACAATTTGCATTCCTGAAAGCTTAACGCTAGAATTTATTCTACCTACTTGGTTAATTCCCATCCCCAAAGGAAAAGCTTAGTTTAAAGTGATCTTAGGTTTTTAATTCCCCTAGGCAACTGGCAGCACCAAGTGCAAACACTGTCTGAGGAAATGCAATTTAAAACCAAAACCTCAAATAATTCCCACAGATTAAATGCCGAAGAATATGAGCTCACAAATAAAAGAGTCATTCAAAACACAAAAATAAACCACTATGTGATACTTAACATAAACAACAAACTGCATGGTTGATTATATGTATAAAAGCTGAAAATACTGGAATGATTAATATAAAATATGCATGTGTAATGTGTTTAAATAAATAAAAAAAATACAGTTAAAAGATGAAAGAAGGGACTTGTCAAATTTGACTGAACAGGTTAAAGAAGAATGAAATAGCATTCAAGAAAATAAAAATAAAGTAAGTGAAAGTTAAAACAATATCAGTGACTGAAACAATGTGACACAGCTCAAGAGAGAAATAATAATGGAAATACACATCTGGAAGTCACACAGAGTTCAGCCTAGAGAGAAAAATAAATGTGTTATGTGAAAGCAAATCTAAGCAACAGAAAGAAGCGCTCACAAATTCAGCTAGAATTCTAAATGGAAAGAATAAAGAAAATGGTAAAGAAACAATGTTTGAAGAAAGAATACTTGGTAATTTTCCAAAATGATGAAAGAGTTAATCAATTCTAAAATTTAGTAATTCCAAGGAACCCTAAATAAAAATAAATGTACACGTATGGACCTTAGAGTAAAACTGAAGAATATAAAGCAAAACCAATCAGTTAGCCAACTAACCAGCCAAACAACCAACCAACCAAACACACAAAAAGACTTGATCTTTAAAATATCTACAAAGAAAAGAGGTAGCCACGGACTACTGAACTAGATTAGCAACTGAATACTCAACAGCCACCAATAGTAAGTTACAAAAAGTGAAATACTATCTTCAAAATGTTAAGATAGAAAAACTATATATATAACTATTTTTCAAGTATGAGGAGAGTCTATAGATATATTTAGATGAGTTAAAATCCAGTACAGTAACTATTTTTGTTGTTGTTGTTTGTTACTGGGGATCGAACTTGGGACCTTGCGCTTGCAAGGCAGGCGGTGGAACCACTGAGCTAAATCCCTGGCTCAGTACAGTAACTATTAAAAATTTTTCACTAAAAGAACTTCCTAAGTGATACTTTAGGAAGAAAAATAATTATCCCAAAAGGAATGGCAGGAATTCTGAAAGGAATATTTAGCAAATAAACTGTCAAATATGTGCTTTGAAGATATTTCCCAGGAAATATGTTTAAGCATATCTCTAGCAATCTTGCATACAGTTTAAAACCTGAAAATAACTCAACTCAATTTTAGTATAATGTATAAAATAAACCATGGAACCTTCACACTATGGAATAGTATGCAGCACTGGCAACTGATTCCTGTAGGCATTAACTTGGGTGAATAGAACAAAGCACACCATGTAGTCTTGTAAAATATGATTTCATTTATTTAAAATGTTCAAAACTAAATGATACTTTTTTGGGAATAAGCACTTATGTATGACAGAACTATAATATATGAAAAGGAGTAATCACAAAATCTAATGCTTATCTCTGGTGGCTGGGAGGAGTTTTTGGGGGTGGATGTATTTAAGGGGTACGGATAATATTTTCATTTTATTTTATATATTCATATATTTATTTATATCTTTAGTATGTACTATAAATTTTATTAAAACAATTGTAAAAGTTAATTATGCAAGAAGGTAATGGGAAGAAGATTCGGGATCGGCATGGATAAAACTTTCTAATGGGAATAACCGTAGCAAATTGGAGTATCAGGGAAAAGAACTCTTGAGCAATGGGGTGGTCCAGAGTTTCCTGTTTCTCTTTTCCAGCTCCCTACCCACCTCACCCTTGCATAGTGCCAAGGTGAGTTTTCATGCACAGTGACGGGTAAAGTCCTCTGTTTCCTCCTTTCCTGATGTGAAATTTTATATGCCTCTTCTAGGTCATAACTTTTGTGTTGAAGCACCTAAATGTGGTGAAAACTCAGAGTGCAAAAACTGGAATACGAAAGCGACTTGCGAGTGCAAGAATGGTTACATCTCTGTCCAGGGAGACTCCGCCTACTGTGAAGGTAAGGAATGTGCCCAATTACATGGCTCGCTTGCTAGGGAGAAATTGTCTCAGAAACGTGTTCCTGGTAGCTGGGGTTGAAGACTGAAAGCCATCGCTTGGCTTTGTTCCTACAGGATCCTATAAAAATCCTACCAGTTACCCAAGGTACTCTGTCCTCTGGCTTTGTCCAGGCTGCCTAACCTGAGAAAGCAAGACCCTTGAAGCTGGTTACGAATACCGGGGCACACTGCATCCCACATCGGTCCACTGCGTGTGCTGATCAGAACGATCCTAAGCATGTTTCCACTTTTGATTTTGAGGGCATTGTCGTCTCCAAGTGCAATTATGTATTATGTGCTGGATTCTCTTCAGAGCTTTTTGACATTAGTTTAAACCCAGCTATCATCTTTTTCACTTGTCAAGGTCAGATTTTTTTTCTTCAGTTGGATCGTTTAATGATTCATTCACGTGTTGCCAGTTACAAATCTTTAAGAATCACAGAGACAGGACTCATGACTTTGGTACCTGAGCTGACGCCATTACAATGGGTTTCTAGGGCAGAACGACTCCTCTGTCTTACGTGAACAGCACATAAGCTCAGCACACCCTTTCCTGTGGTAGAGGGGTGGGTTAGCTCTGACGCCACTGTGTGTGTTTGCTGCTGTAAAACCTGAGCCCACCTCTTTAATACTAAGCTACAGTGATCTGATAGTTAGGGAGGTAGCTTTCTTGAGCTGAGTAAATGCTGTAAAATCTGGCCACTCCCCTGCAAGTAGTTGGGTCTAAAATTGGTATCAAGTTTTCTCATTGTAATGATAACATTAATTGATGTCAGGAAGAGTAAATTCCTTTCCATTCTTTGCTTTTATATCATTTATCCTTGCTTAACTTTTTGGTTTTGACTAAAGTCCAGCAGTTGTTAAGGAAATATATCTACTCACTTCTAGTGTTGGTGGTGTGTTGTTTTCATTTCTTCAGGAAGACTGTGTTCATTTATACTTTCCTTTCCATTAGAAGTAGACTAACATTTTTCTTCTCTTTTTGTTACCTTTTTATCCCTTTGCTCACCTTCTAGATTTGAAGTTGATTAGGACATAGCACTTGGAGAATGAAGCTGTCCCTTTGCCTATGAACCTCTTTATCTACCCTTTGATATCATGTTACTGATTTGTTCATTTTGGGGAAGTGGACTGTAAATTTTAGTACTTCACACTAAAATCTATTTTTAAAAATTTACCTTATGAGCTTCCGTATCAGAAAATAAAGCAAAATTAAAATGTGAGCATTCTGTCCTCTATTCACCATGGAAAAGGTCCTATAAGCCAGGTAACGGTCTAAAAGGCTTACTTTCCTACTTTCTGCTCTCTGTGGAGAGAGATTCTAATCATAAATGTGATGTCAAGAACCTTGAAATAATTGGAATCTTGATTCTGTGAACACTGTTAGACCTTTGAGTTGTCTATCAGGTTGAGAGCACCCCGTCCCTGGGCCTTCTGAGCTACTGAGGCCTGGAGCCACGTGAGAGAAAATTGCTAATGCTGATTCTGTTTGAAACATGGAATCTCCTCATTGATACCAATTTTTCCCTGTAGATGCAGCTCCAAGAGAAGCCATCTGCAATACTAAACCTGCCTTTCGGGGGGAGGCCTTGCGGTGTTATGTGTGTGCTTCCAGGTTTGGGCCACTGTTTGCTTGCACATGCTCCCCCTTGGCTCAGTGTCTGCACTGGGCCTTGTTTGGGCCAGTGTGTACCCTTGGTGCTCCTCTGGGTGGTGGTGATGTGTGGGACATCAGTCAGTCATCTGTCTGTTGTCCTGGAGACTTTCCACAGGGCCCAGGGCACATGTTCATGGGCAGCACCCCAGGAGAAATGCAAAATGATGGGGGTCTCCTAATGTACAGAGCTCAGGGAGGCAAGCAGGGATGAAACACCAGGTATCCAGTGAGCGGCTCTGAGAACTAACAGGAGTCAACACTGCCATCGAGAGCAGATACTTCCTGTCCTTCAGCCTGCTGTCTGCAGCATGTTGGCCTCTGTTCCCATGACTGCATGGTGGCTGGTTTAGCTTCAGCCCTGGTGAGCTCCTATAGTGTCCCAGGCAAGGAGGACGGGACAGGAAGGATGAACTTGTCTGTAGAGTTCTGTCTGTTTATGCTCAAAGGATTTCCTGCAAAGGTGCTCCCCAGCCCACCACTGCCATCCGCTGAAAACCTGGCCTGTCCGAATTGTCAGATCTGTGTTAGAGCCCTGCATGCCTGCGCTTTTAGGCCAGAGTTTGGGGAAAGGAAGGAAGTCACCACTACTGGCTCAGGCTAATTACCATGCTGTGGAGCCAGAGTAGTTTGTCTTTCTTGATATTGAAGGATCTTTGTCCTTTGTTGAACCAAATAGTGAGTTGGCACCAGAAAAGGGTGCGACTGGCTTTCGGGTGGGCCAAAGCTATGATCATCTTACATTTTTAATGGTTTAAGTGAGTTTGTGCCGTCTTCCTAGCCTTATCCTAGGAATTTCCCTCTGAGCTGGTCTCATGGACAAGCTTAGAGGGGGGCACAAAAGCCTGGCCTTTCGGCTCACCCTGACTTAACCTACAGAGATCTAGACACATGTGAACTGCTGCATGCCAGCTGTTTTTTACCCTGTGTAAATGGAGCAAAAACGGCCCATGTTATTAAACCATAATGAACAAGACTGGCTTGCAAATTAAAACAGAATATTACACACACTGTCCAGGCTGTCTTGGAAAGCCTATTCGGGCTGTTAGGGCAAGAAGAAGCGCAAAAGGCCTTCAGTTTTCTTAACCTCCTCGGGTAGTCACGGAGCTGTGGTGTATTAAGGACTCTTGCTCTGTGGACCTTATTGCCGAAACTGCTGTGGGGAAGGTAACAGGACTCCTGGCCAGTCAACGGGAGACAAGGAGACCTTTTGTCAGCGGTGATACAGTTCACAGGAGGTTGTTTCTTTTTTGCCTTGTGGAGCTCTAGCTGGCACAGTCTCCATTTTGAGGACGGCTTTAGTAAGATTTTAGTGTTTTATGAACCTGGTGAGCTGAGACTTTTTCTCTTTGTGATGATGTTTTCAGTGAGTTGGTCTTCAGTAGTTTCTGACACATTATTTTAAATTAGAAGTAACGTCCAGGGAAAGTATAAGCAGGGGTCCTAGTGATGATCTTTCTTCTTGAACTTGGAGTCTAACTAGTCTTCTAAACTATTTCTTACTATAGTCAGAGGTTATTTTGATGAATAAAGAATAATGTCATGTTACATGCTCTCTGCTATGTACGCTAAGTACTACAACGAACCTTAACCGATGCGACCTTTACTTTCAGAGTATTTTGAATTTTCCAGCTGCCTCTTGTATATGGTACACTTTTTGAGAATTAAATAAATCTGTGAGGAAAATGGCAGCATTGGTTTCCATTAATAACCATTTTACAAGTGCAGATGTGAAGACCCAGAAAAATGAAGGTAAAACTCAATGCGTTTCTATCCCAGGGCCTTATGCTTTGAATATGCTGTTTCCAACTCTCCTGCCACTCACACTTTTCCCATATCATGTTGTTGTTTGAAACATTTGCCACCTCCACAGCTTGTTCCACTGACATCTGCTTGGGTCCCAGGAATATAGGTGGATGTGACGCCTGTCACTGTCACTTCAGAGTGGACACTCTGAGAACCTCTGCAGGGTTCTACCTCATTTTCTTTTCTATTTGGCACAGACTGGCAGGGTTCAAGGTCAGGGCTTCTCTTGTAGCCAGTGTTCTGGAATGAAGATGACGTGGAGCAAGTGACAGCTGACAGGAGATGGCCGTGTGGCACGAGTGAGAAATGATCCTGTGTGCCACTGGATCGTGCAGGTTTTGGAGGTAGTGGCGAGGGGCAGTTATCTGTTACTTTTGCATATCTTTGTTCAGTTTACTGATATATCCACTGCAATTAATTCATCCAAAACTTGTTGGAGAGATCAGTGCTCCCAACCAAAAGTAATTTTTAATGCATCAAGTATTGAGCGTCATCAGAAAAAAGTACACAGTGTTTGGACCATCAGTAGTCTGCTCTGGCTCTGCTGTCAGGCAATAGATTTTTTGAAAACCGCAGTTGTAAATTAGTGCTTTGTTATGTCAAATCCAACATGGTAAATTGGATTTCCCAATTAATGTGATAATGAGACAATATGCGTCTAAAATTTAGGAAACTGTCTCGTATTTACTAAACATGTAATAGATCACACCATTCATCATTATTTTTGTTATCATTTTTAACATTAATGTTAGTGAGAGTCTTTCTTGAAATTGGTGTGCTCATTGAAGCCAATACTTTGAGAAAGTGGGCTTCCTATATGCCTGCTTTTGGGGAGATTAGCATGTGGCAAGGAAAACTGATTTTAGGCAGAAGAACCAGGTCTCTTCAGTTCTGTCAGGGGCCCACTGTTAGCAGTGGAGCACCAAGCATAAGACTCTACAAGGATGAACTCATTCCTCTCTCAGAAAAGCACAAGCAGAGCTGCACTCAAGGATATGTTTTGGAAAGAAACACTTACCTGCATGGGTATGAATTCAGTAATTTCATATAACAAAAGTACTGAGGTGTGGAGCACAGCGACTGTTTAGCAAGGTCATTTCTGACTTCTTTTACTTGATTGAAGGTGATGATGAAGAACTTGACCCTTTCAAAGGGAAGAGGCCAGGAAAATGGCAGAGAAATCACAGTGTGAGTGAGAAATGGCTCCCAGCATAGCTGCAAGTGTAGAGACTTAAGTGGACTTCCATAGAAACAGGGCTCTGTAATTTCCTGACTAAGAGAATTTAATGGGCCAATGTGCTTAGATTTCTAATTATCCAAGAGTTAACTAGATAACATTTTTTATTTTTATGTTTATTGTTGTTGTTTTTGTTTTGGTACCAGGGATTGAACTCAGGACCTTGTGCTTGCGAGGCAGGCAGTGGAATCACTGAGCCAAATCCCCGGCCCTCAGATAACTTTTTTAAAATAAATTTTTTGGCCTTTAAATGTTTTACATCT